ATTAGATGTCAGTCCAAACTAATAGTTTTGAGTGAATTATTAATTGTACAACACAAGACAGGTTTAAATAAATATTTTATATATTTTCCCGGATGCCTGATGGATGACGAACATGAGAGACCACACATTAAACCGGCTTCATTTTGGCAGGAGCTTGTATTTCTAAAGTGATATAAGCTAGGACAGATATAAGCTTTGAAGTGATGTACACAACTACAGTCTTTTTACCTCTTTTTCCCCACAGACAACAAAATGTTTTAGAGCTTACATTTAATAAATAGCTAGTAAATATATTTTTTTGGAATATTTATGTTAAGACCTGATAATGGACAACACATATCAAAAGAAAAATCAGAAAAAAACTTAAGGGCTTAACAGAATGTTCGCGTTGAGCGTTTTTTGTTAAGGGCTAAACATAATATTCGCGTTGAGCGTTTTTTGTTATCGCGTTAACGCACAATAACAAAAAACGCTCAAAGCGAACATTCTGCTTAGTCCTTTAGAGGGTGAAAATATGTACAGTACCAAGTTATGCATACAGTCCAAATATAAATAGCATCGTATTCGAATGTTGCCCTCAAAATTGTTTTAAGGTACGATTAGATTTATTATTTTTCAGTAAATATGTCCAGTATCTCCCGAATGCAAGGAAGTAGCAAAGTCAAATTGTATTCATATCCTATTTAGTATAGCATTAAATCTGTACACATAAAATATTTCTGTGCACATAAAATATTTCTATGGCTCAAAGGGTTAAAAAACTGGGTTTCGGACATCAATTTTTAATTCAACAAAGTTTTCCTCTTATAATGCGTTTAGAATCACGAAATCCATACGATCTCAAATATCAATACGTCAAATACAATCCACTGGATTTCATGATTAGGATGACGTATGCGCTGTGGAATTGACATTTGAAATCGAGTGGGCGAATTTTTTAAGTTATATGTTATAAGTTATATAAAATTTTAAGTTAAAAATTGTCAATTTTTTTGTGCGATTCTGTAAAGGGGTCCGTACAATGTTCACGTTACGCGTTTTTTTCTTTTCGCGTCAACGCACGCAGACAATTAACATATATTTAACTCCAAAGTGCAATGCACATCAACTTCAAGCATTGATGTCATCGTCCCCTTGTAGTTGCTGTATGATCGATAACAAATAACACAATGGATCCATTCTACTATTGTTTTTCCAATTATTGAATGACAGGATTGAATTGAACGTGTTTAATCTCCGGTGTGTTTTTTTTTTCTTAAATACTTTTTTTCCTTTATGTATTGACCCGTTTCCCGACTGTGCGAGTATTATAGCGCCATCACCATTTCTTAAATACTGTGTATATAAGTTAGCACATCCCTGCCAAACTAACAGGCAACAATGTTGCCTTTGTGAGCTTTGCTTGGTTGACTGTTGTGTGCTTAGCATGGAGTCGTGTTACGTCTGGTGGCGTGACCATGGGAAGTGTAGTGTCAGCGTATTGTCAGCAATTTTGATTTGTTTAGTTTAAGTAGAATAAGTTTTTGATTTGAATAAAGAAGTTAGTTCATTCTAACTCACCAAAAGGCACACAAGTCTTTTTATTAACTGGCGCCCAACCGGGTTTATTTAAAGGATTTACTTTGAAAAAAGTAATCTCTGACCCAACCCAAGTCGTCCAACTCGCACAAAAGGAATAAGCTCAGCACAAAAACAAGAACAAAAACTACTCAAGTCGTCCAACTCGCACAAAAGGAATAAGGTCTACACAAAAACCAGAACGAAAACTACCCAACGGAGGATCTATTTTGTATGAAGTCGTCCAACTAACGCAAAAGGGATAAGCTCTACACTCTAGAAAAGACGCCCTAAGAAGCTCTAAGGATCCACTAACATATTATAATATAAAACAAAGTCATGTAAGTGTATTACTCATTGAATTTAAAAAATTTTTGTCGAAAAATTGTGTGTCCAAAAACAGGTGAAAATATCAAGAGATTTTTTTTTACTTCGTATAGTGCGTATTTAAAATATAATATTTCAATTTCTGTGAAGTGATTAAGATTGTGTTATACCAACTTTTCTATAAAAAAAAAGATATTATGAACGCGGACGAAATTTCAAAATTGATAGAATCTGCTGAACGTGCAGCGATTCAGACACATAAATCAGAAGTCGACAAAAAAGTCGACGATCTATCAAGAAAATTGTCGTCCATTTCCATAGGACAAACAGATGTAAAACCGTATGAGGAAGTAAAAATTTTTTCAACAATAACATGCGATGAGTCGCTAGACGTTATTAAATCTTTGCCCGAATTTGACGGGAAAATAGAAAATTATGTGTCGTGGAGACAAGCGGCACATAACGCGTATAAAGTTTTTGAAAGATATGATGGTAGCTCAAGGCACTACCAAGCAGTTTGTATCATTAGAAATAAAATCAGAGGACCGGCAGATGCAGTATTAGCATCATTCAATACGGTGTTAAATTTTAAAGCTATAATAAATAGGTTGGACTTTACGTACTCAGATAAACAACCAATTCACCTGATCGAACAGGAACTAAGTACCCTCAGACAAGGCGGACAGTCGGTGATACAATTTTATGATGAAGTGGAGAGAAAGCTCTCATTATTAACAAATAAAACTATTATGAGCTATGACAGGAATTTAGCTTTAGCCATCAATAACAAATACCGACAAGACGCACTCAGAGTATTTGTTTCCGGATTAAGGAAACCTCTCTGTGATGTACTCTTCGCGGCCCGCGCCGCTGATCTTCCCTCAGCTCTAGCCTTAGCGCAAGAAGTGGAGGCGAATCATGAAAGATACGTTTTTGCTACATCATTTGCAAATAGGAATGATGAAAAAAAGAGTAGGTCTGAAACCTCAAAAAAACTTCCATTAAGAAAACCGTCTGATAATAGTTATAACAATAACCAACAAAATTATCATAAACACAAAAACCCACATTACGAAAAGGGTGCTGATGCTAATTTACAGCCTAGAGATCAAACCGAAGAAATGGACTTAGATCCAACGTCTTCCAAATTCAGACAACCGACTAATTATGGTAACGGTAGAAATTCTCACAGACAACCTTTTAAGCGTCAAGCAGGGTCTGACCGGAGTACGGGCCCAAAATTCCAAAAAGTTAATCAAATAATTCCGGAAGAGCAGGCGGTACAATATGGTGACATAGCTCACTCTGAATTTGAAGACATAAATGACGAATTAAAGGAAGATTGTGATTATGTTAATTTTTTAGAGGAAGGTCCCTACTACCGTTTGTAAGGCGGACAGTAGCGGGGAAACCAATACGCCTTTTAATTGACACAGGGGCTTCGAAAAATTATATAAAACCTCTCCATGAACTGAAACATATAATTCCTGTAAGTACTCCTTTCTCGGTTCACTCTGTCAATGGACAAACACCTATTAAACAAAAATGTTTTGTAAATTTATTCGGCATGAACTCTACATTTTTCATTTTGCCAACTTTAACAACATTTGACGCTATTGTGGGCTTAGACCTATTAAAACAAATCAATGCAAACATTGACCTAAATAAAGGAGTCATCCTACATAATTCTGGCTCTGAACTTATTGAATTTTTTGAATGTAAAGATGTTAATTTTATAGAAATTGATAAGATTGATGTGCCTTTCGCAGTTAAGGCGGATTTTCAGAAAATGTTAAAAAAACGAATGAAGGTTTTTGCTGATCCTAAAGAAGCACTACCTTACAACACAAATATCGTTGCTACTATTAACATGGAGAACGAAGAACCAATTTACTCTAAACTATATCCATACCCAATGGGGGTATCTGAATTTGTAAACTCAGAAATAAAAAAGTTGTTAGCAGATGGTATAATTCGACCTTCGAGGTCACCTTTTAATAGCCCAGTATGGGTAGTCGACAAAAAGGGTGTCGACAATCTAGGTAACCGAAAGAAACGTCTTGTTATAGATTATCGGAAGCTTAATGCCAAAACAATTAATGATAAATATCCTGTTCCGAACGTAACAATGATATTATCAAATTTAGGTAAAGCAAAGTACTTTACCACTTTAGATCTGAAATCCGGGTTTCACCAAATTGTTCTCGCAGAAAGAGATAGGGAAAAAACAGCATTCTCTGTAAACAACGGGAAGTATGAATTTTGCCGTCTCCCATTCGGATTAAAGAACGCTCCGAGTATGTTTCAAAGAGCTATAGACGACATACTCAGAGAGGAAATTGGTAAAACGTGCTATGTTTACGTCGATGACGTTATTGTTTTTTCAGAAACCAAAGAGAATCATGTAAAACATATCGACTGTGTTCTTAGGAAACTGCTCGATGCAAACATGAGAGTCTCTATTGAAAAGTCAAATTTTTTTAAATCCGAAGTTGAATACCTTGGCTTTGTCGTATCAAAAGAAGGTATAAAAACGGCACCATCAAAGATAAGTGCCATACAAAATTTCCCAGAACCAACGACGTTGTTCGCTTTGAGATCATTTCTTGGGCTAGCGAACTATTACCGATGTTTTATAAGGGACTTTGCCAAAATTGCAAAACCTTTAACCGATAATTTAAAAGGAGAAAACGGAAAAATTCCTGCAACCAAATCCAAAAAGGTTATCATCAATCTTAATGCCTCCCAACTGGATGCATTTTACAAATTAAAAAATATTCTATGTTCAGAAGACGTCTTGTTGATGTACCCTGACTATAAAAAAGCATTCGACCTTACTACTGATGCATCAGGGCATGGTCTAGGTGCTGTTCTATCCCAAGAGGGAAGACCAATCACTATGATTTCTAGAGCGTTATCGGATAAGGAGTTGAATCTCGCCACAAACGAAAGGGAACTTCTAGGAATAGTCTGGGCTCTAAAAACTCTAAGGCATTACCTTTATGGTGTGAAGACTCTTAACATCTTCACTGACCACCAACCGTTAACATATTCAGTTTCGGACCGTAATCCTAATGCACAAATTAAGCGCTGGAAAGCTTTTATAGATGAACATAATGCAAACTTATATTATAAACCAGGAAAAGAAAATCAAGTTGCAGATGCGCTATCAAGGCAAGTCGTCTATGCATTAGAGAACGAAAATTCGTCAGACATGGCAACAGTTCATAGTGAGGAGTCATACACCTACACTATGGAAAGCTCAGACAAACCGGTCAATTGTTTCCGCAACCAAATCATTCTGGAAGAGGCAGAATTTCCCGCCACTCGAAATTTTATACTTTTCGGAAACAAAACGAGACATATCATAGAATTCGGGGATAAAAACGAAATACTGGCTAAACTTGTTGATGCAGTCAATACTGAAGTAGTAAATGCCATTCATTGCGACCTACCTGTGTTGGCTCACATTCAACATGATTTGATTAAAATGTTTCCTTCAACAAAGTTCAGATTTTGTAGTAAATTTGTCGCTGACATCTTCAATCAATGCGATCAGAGAGAAATTGTTGTAAGTGAACACAATAGAGCTCATCGGGCAGCTCAAGAGAACGTAAAACAAATCCTTTCGGAATACTATTTCCCCAAAATGGTAAAAATAGCGAATGAGGTTGTTGCAAACTGCAAAACCTGTTCAAAAGCTAAATACAATCGACACCCAGAGAAACATGTTATAGGAGAGACAATAGTTCCTTCATATGCCGGTGAAATTCTACATATTGACATTTATTCAACTGATAAAAAACATTTCTTAACTTGCGTGGATAAATTCTCAAAATTCGCAGTGGTACAGCCAATAGCCACCAGAACAATTCTGGACATAAGAGAACCGATTCTCCAATTAATGAATATTTTTCCAAACACCAAAATTGTCTATTGTGACAATGAGAGGTCTTTCAACTCCGAGACTATCAGATCAATTCTGAAAAACAGGTTTAATGTCGAAATTGTCAATTCACCTCCTCTACACAGCACATCAAACGGGCAGGTAGAGAGATTTCACAGCACTCTTGCCGAAATCGCAAGATGCCTAAAAATAGAAAGGAAGATCGATGACACTGTCGAACTCATCTTACAATCGACCATAGAATATAACCGGACAATTCATTCTGTCACGAATGAGAGACCTATTGATACGATACATTCTACACCTTCTGAAGTAAGAGAAAAGATTAAAGAGCGAATCTGTAACGCGCAAAACAGGCAGTTACAATACTTCAACAAAAGTCGTTATGACAAAGTTTATAACGTGGGAGACAAAGTCTTTGTTAAGAATAATCGTAGACTTGGAAATAAAATGACCCCACTTTATGAAGAAGCTACTGTTGAAGCAGACATGGGGACAACTGTCCTAATAAAGGGGAGGGTGGTCCATAAGGACAACCTAAGATAATCCTTTCAATAAGATGTCTAAATGTTTCTTCGTCTACCTTTTATTTTTCTTTACGCAGGCTAACACTACAATTGCTTCTTATGATAAACCTCACATTTGCAAAGATTATTGATTATTCGCATTCCGATTATATCCCAATTTTGGACGGGAACGCGATTATATGGAACAAATATGGGTACTTAAGACATACGACAAACCTTACAACGTATTCCGAGATATTAGACGATACAAAAAACGCAATACAGATCTTCCCTCAGACGCATGTTAAAAAGATATTGGAGGCCGATGTATTGCATATTGATACTCTTTTAACAACACTCACCGTACATCATCGGCATGCGAGAAGCATCAATCTTATAGGCACAGCACTGAAGGTTATTGCCGGTACACCAGATGCCGATGACTGGGAGGATGTCAAATTTGTCGAGAAACAACTCGTAGATTCCAACAACAGACAAATAGAAATAAATACGAAAATACAGATCCAAATAGAAAAGTTGACCAATGCAGTAAACACAATCTTAAATACCGAACGAAAGGAACAAATTGATACTGTTAAACTTTTTGAAATTTTAATGGCTAGAAACAGAATGCTGCTTATGGAATTACAAAATATAATTTTATCTGTAACTTTGGCTAAAATCAATATTATAAATCCCACAGTTTTGGACCAGGATGATTTAAAATTTTTTATAAAAAATCAGATCAATGAGCAATACACAGATTTTACCATATCAGAACTAATGTATTTGTCTAAAGTAAAAGTAATATCAAATGAATTTTGTTTGCATTTTATCATTAGATATCCCATTCCAATACGAACATGTCAGAAAATTTCTTTATTCCCAGTTCCCCACTTCAATAAAATTATTCAATTCGCTGACACCAACACTGTGGTAGACTGTGAAGGAAAGACTTATTCAGCAACAGATTGCAAGCACGCAATATCTTCAACCTATTGTCAACTGATGCCAGAGTCAACCTGCGCTCAACAACTCATATCGGGTAAATCAGCACACTGTAATACGCAAAGCAATAATCTTGAAAAAGTGGCAGAAATCGATGATGGAATTGTCATTGTGAATGACGCTATTGCAGAAGTGAAAGAAGCAACCGAAAATGTAAGAAACATAAACGGCACATTCCTAATAACTTTTGAAAAAAATGTGACTGTCAATGGTACGCTGTTCGTAAATAGAAACAACATTGATATGCGGAAACCAGGAACACCATCATTTCCCTCAATTATTATAAACAACCACAGCGAAATTTTAAGTTTATCATCTGTCCATGAGATGAACTTGCAAAACTTACAATATATTGGCGAACTTGAAAGAGATGCAAAAGTGCGGCCAATATTAGTTGGTTGTGTTGTTTTTATGAGTATCGGATTACTCTATTCCATATTGTGCCTCATTAAGCGTAGGGTGAAGAAGAGAGAACAGCGAGATTTTAAATCTGCCGTAGCAATGGCTATAAAGAAGACCGAGGACGGCCTTCACTTAAGTGAGGGGGTAGTTAGCACATCCCTGCCAAACTAACAGGCAACAATGTTGCCTTTGTGAGCTTTGCTTGGTTGACTGTTGTGTGCTTAGCATGGAGTCGTGTTACGTCTGGTGGCGTGACCATGGGAAGTGTAGTGTCAGCGTATTGTCAGCAATTTTGATTTGTTTAGTTTAAGTAGAATAAGTTTTTGATTTGAATAAAGAAGTTAGTTCATTCTAACTCACCAAAAGGCACACAAGTCTTTTTATTAACTTACGTATTTTTTTACACAAATTTTTAACGAGAGTCAATACAATTTTACACACAATTATTTTAAATACAAAAAAATAAGAAAATAACGAAGAAATCTAAATATTTGTGCATACGACAAGAGAACCAACTGTGAAATAAAATGTATTGCTAAAGTGTCGATTAAACAACAAAAAGAAAAAAATCAAATCAAAAAATCTCGTAAGTCTCTGTGAAAATATTTGCGAAATTTTGTTAAATGAAATGCAAGTGCAAATGTGAAGAAAAGTGAGCAACAGAATGAGTAAAGATTGATGGATGGTGCAAAGAAATGCCAGGCAGGCAACTTGTATAATCTTAACAAAAATAAAGTGCACGAGAAAAACGACATGCAAATCCAAAAAAAAAAAACAAAAAAAATGTTTAAACGGAATATAATTTAAGTGGTGATACGCGTTGCGTTTTGCTGGGCCTATAACAAAAAATGTTTTTTCTAAGCTCCAACAAGACAATAGGAAAAAAATATTTGTGTTATTAGTAATATTTTTGTTTGTTTGTGTTTTTCTGGTTCCTATTCGGGTTCTGTTGTGAGAGAGTGTGTGTCAGGTGGAAGGTAAAAGTGCGCATCATAGAATAAAATGATAAAATAGAAAGGCAATATGTGACAAAAACAACAACAACAGCAATACTGTGAATAAATGTTTAAAAGTTGCCCACAAAATTAAACCTTCCTAGTCAGTGTTTTGTGTTATGTTTCGTTTTATTTGTTGGTTTTCTCTTTCGCCCCCTCCTGTTTGTTGTTTTTTGATTTTCTTCACTGGGCAATTTACTGTTTGTGACACCGCAACGTCGTGTACTTATGCCATTTGTTGTATGTGTGTTTGTGTGCATGTTTGATGATGATCTGTTTTTGTTTTGATAGATGTGGTACTGGATGGATGAATTTTTTCTGTCATTTTTAATGCTTCTCTTATCTGCCCATGGTTAATTGTAACTGTCACCGTTATTATGAATCAATGACATATACCTATATATGTATGACAAGTTTACTTGCAAACCAAGTCAACAAATTTCAATTTTATTAATAATAATTAATAACAAAATTGCCGCCGCCACTGACTGTTATCATGAGGCCTGTCATCTTTGCCCCCAATTGTTTTCTCTCTCCCTCTCTCCATAAGCAAAAAATGACCGTTCTACCGTTAATTGCTGCAACTTTGTACAAGTGTGTGCGTATGTGTGTTTTGTTTGTGCACAAAATGTGTTTTCTGTTCTGGAAGGGCTGCTGCCACTTTTGTTTGCTTCATTGTTGTTGTTGTTTTCCACTGAGAAAGAAATATGTCTGAGAATTGCCATAAATTACTTGTTATCCATTGGCAATTAACAAACAATGATGATAACTGACTGGCTGCCGCCGTTTGAGATCCAACGACCTGTTGCTGCTTGCTAGCTTGCTTGCATGCCTTTGTCGTAGATGTTGTTTTCCGATGGCTATTAGGTACTCAGTATTCCATGAATCTATTGATTGCATGGTTAATTCCTCAATTGAATTTTATAAATCTAAACGTGCTTGGTTGTGCTTTGAGAAAACGCGATACGAAAAAAATATGAACATTAGAAACAAACTGCTGCTTGCTGGTAGCTAATGAATGAATGTATGAATCAACTTCAACCAAAAAATCACACAAACAAAATTCAAGTGCGTCGGATCTACTACTTCAGGTTTGTCCAATTTTGCTGTTGTTGCTGTTATTGGCCATTTACAATTGAATACTTTGAGAAATTGACATCAAACGGAAGGTCATCTGTGAATGAATGAATGGTGTGTCTGGTTTGATCTGGTTTGTTGGTGCATGTTACGCGGGGGGAAATGTGACATCACCAACGACATGACAAAACTTGAAATTGCGAAAAAAACACCGAAAAAAATTAAAACACTGCGCAAAGTCTATTGTTAGGTTATAATCCAAATATGCGTACCACATAT